GCCAACTCAGGACTGTGAGGTGCACACCTAATGATGTCACATCAAAATCATCACAAGATCACCCTTGCCCAGGAGCACTGTCACGCTGGACATTGACTCTGCTGGAACCTTCCACGCATTCTCTGCTTTAAAGCCTTGGGAACGTCTCAAACCACTGTGATGGAAAGCAGGCCCTCCAGAAAGTTAAGATAATGCCTTGGGCAGCCACTGTGCCAGCCACCATGACTTTCGTCCTCGACAGCTGCACTTCTGCTCTGACTGGACCCTTTGCACCTCCTGGAAGCCATTGTTTTGATTGGGCTCCATCTTCGGGACCACGCTGGGAAAGTCCTGTTTCTTCTCCTGCTACAATTCTTTAAAAGAATGCTTCAGGAACTTGATCCACCTATTTGAAATTTCCACTGAAAGCAGCTGGTCTGGGCACAATAGTTTGGGCATTCACCAAGCAGAAAGCTTGCTTTGCTTCCACTTTTCAGTCGGAAGTGTACACACACTGAGGCAGTTGAGATCTATGATGTAGGTCACTGCTTCTGCTGGTAACCACTGTTCTCCAATTAGGACACAAATAAAAGCAATTTTGCCTTCATCACTTGATGGGGTTGGTCTGTTGCTGCAGGCTTCACATTCGACATCATCTAGTTTCTTCCTATTCATTTGTAAACCTGCTGATTTCCCTGGGGTATGCTCCCCATAAACTCACATAAAACATTAACACTTTCACCCAAGCTTCCACATATTCCAACTGCTCTTATTTCAATATTGTCAGAATTTATACTATTCTGAGGGGCTCTTTTTCAACTAATGTCAACTAACCATCACAGTGCCTCAAGCTAGATTCCCTTGAGACGCGCGGTAACAAGTTGGTTCAAGATTACTTCATTACACACGTTTCCCATAAACTTTCTGAAATCCTCTCATTAGCATGGCAAGTAAGCACATAAAAAGATGTCCAATGTCATACGTCATTGAAGGGTTGCCAATTAAAACAATGAGCCACACTAGACAATTACTAGAATGGCTAAAATCCAAAGTCCAACACAAATGTTGGCAAGCATGTGGGGTAACAGGAATTCACATTCATTGTTGAATGAAAATTTGGAAGGCAGTTTGGCAGACTTGCTCAAAACTAAACATATCCTTACTAAGTGATGGAGCCACTGTGCTCCTTGGTATTTACCCAATTAAAATGAAAACTTATATCCATTCAAAAACCTGCACACAGGCCTTTATAGCAGCTTTATACATAACTACCAAAATCAGATACAACCAAGAGGTCTGTCAGTAGGGGAATGGATAAATAATCTGTGGTATATGAGAAAATGAATATTACATTAGAAAGAAATGAACTATGAAATCAATTTTATGAAAACATCTTTTAAAATGCAGAAGAGTCAAATGTATATTACTAAGCGAAAGAAGCCAATCTGCAAAGGCAACAACCCCATATGATTACAAATATATAATCTTCCAAGAAAGCCCAAATTATGGAGACAGAAAAAAGGCTACAGTATGCCAAGAGCTCGAGAAGACGACACGCAGAGAACAGAGCACACTCAAGGCAGTTGAAACTATTCTATATGATATGATAATGCTGCATACATCATATGATATGTTTGTTAAAACCCAAGGAATGTACACACCAAGAAGGAGCCTCAGAATCAACGAAGGGCTTCGGGTGATAATGGTCGGCCATGCAGATACAACAGGTGTCGACTCCAGTGCACGATGCTCAGACAACACGGAATATAGAGACACATTCTCCAAATTCTGCTGCAAACCTCGATATTCACTAAATGTATCATTCGCCCAAAAAAAGGTTAATTTACTTCAAAACAGTAGGATACTGGGGGTGGGAGACAGTCAATAACAAATCCATCAAAAATGCCTGAGCACCTGAAAAAACCTGAAAGCAAACCTGAACGGCTAGCTTCACTGTGACTTATCCAAACACTGAAACAACACATAGCATTGAAAGGAACTGTGCTAACAAGTCATGAAAAAAAAAACACAGAAGAAACCTAAATAATGTTTAAATTTTAAAAAGGGAAATGGCTACATACCATATGACTTAACTATGTGGCACTCTGGAAAGGGCAAATCATGGAATCAGAAAAATCAGTGATTTCCAGGAGCTAGAGAAGAGGAACAGATAGGTAGAAGAAACAGGATTTTTAAGACAGAAACTATCTTGCATGGCACTATTCTGTCATATTGCTAGACTCAGAGAATGTTAAACACCAAGCGTGAGACCTAATTTAAACCATGGATATGAAAATAATGACAAATGAGATATCAATATACGTTCAGCAACGGTAACCAATGTACACTCTGGAAGAGGTGGCTGAGAGTAGGACAGTTTCAGAGAGAGGAACGGGGCACGAGGCAATTCTTTGGAACTTCTGCTCAGTCCCTCCACGCAACTAAACCTTTCTAAAAAGCGAAGTATGTTTTTAAAAAATGCCTGTGAGCCTAGTAATGTGGGGGTTCTAGAACATGGTGATAACAGACAAGAAAAACTAAAAGCCACCCAACAACCGACCTACGGGTGCCCCTTTAGGGAAAAACCTGAGAGACCAGTTAGCCTCCCAAACATAGAACTTTTCAGGTGGTGATTCTGTTTGAGGAATATAATTGATACCGCTCACCCCACTACTAAGAAAGGAAAATCTCCCTTACACAGGAGGTAACTTAGCCACACACCTTGCAATGTAAGATCATAAGCGAAAGCACACATGCCTGAAAGGAACACCTTTGCTACCTATCTCTCGGCTTTGAACTTGGTGAGCACTCAGAAGTAGATGGAAAAGTTACAGGTGAAACTCAAAAGTCACAGGAGTCTCTGAATCCTAGCTCTGCTCCTCGTTCCAGCTTTTTCCGTTGAGGTGACCCTGGGAGTCAGCAGGGGATGGCTCCAGCCGTTGGATCCTGCCCCCCATCTGGGAGAGCTGGATTAACTTGTCGCTATTGATTCCAGCCTGGCCCAGCTCTGGCTGTTGTAGGCACCTGGGAGAGAACCTGAGCAGATGGAAGATCTGTGGCAAATGGGTAGTCGTTTGTGTCTCTTTCTCTCCCTGCCTTTCAAATAAATAAAGAAAATATAAAAGATGCCATTACCTTATTTTTTGTCAACTTCAGAAGCAGTTCAAGCTTTGGTCAGCTCACAAGGACAGACTTTGAGAAGCTCAGGTCTAGTCCAACCCTCTCCCTTTACAGAGAAAGGATCATAAAGACCAATTTATGTTATTTTTCATTTCTGGGCCTCATGATTGTCATCTTCCAGCTCTGAACCCCTAAGACACCCATTTATTTCTTCACTGCCACTTAAGACAAATGGATGCTTTCTTTAAAAGAAATGATACAGGGGGCCCGGCACGGTGGTACAAGTGGTTAAGGTCCTCACCTTGCACACCCGGGATCCCATGTGGGCGCCGGTTCTATCCCGGCAGCCCCACTTCCCTTCCAGCTCCCTGCCTGTGGCCCGGGAAAGCAGTCGAGGACGGCCCAAAGCTTTGCGACCCTGCACCCGCATGGGAGACCTGGAAGAGTCTCCTGGCTTCGGATCGGCATAGCATTGGCCGTTGCGCTCACTTAGGGAGTGAATCATCGGAAGGAAGATCTTCCTCTCTGTCTCTCCTCTCTGTATATCTGCCTTTCCAATAAAAACATAATAAAAATAAATCTTTAAAAAAAAAAAAGAAATGCTACAGGGAAGTGGGGTTGCAATTAAAACAAGGCACACTGTCTCCTATTTCGATCTCTACCTTTCAATATTTCACTGATCATCTTCAAAAAGTGAGTGAAGTAAAGCCACACACCTTCAACCTTCTTCTCCTCAACACCAGTGTAGAGCTTTGCAATTTACACGTGCAGAAGACCATACCATTGGCAATGGGTATGGTAGATTACCAAACCTCTAATTTCCCCTGGCAAAATGTGCTTAGGTATAATTTCATAAGAGTCTCATAAGATTATAACAAATGGAGAGTGCCAGAGTTATGTTGAGATGCAAAGTTCAGGATAGTTGGCTCTGCCTACAGCCAGGTAAAAGACCTGTTCCACATAGGATGCCAGCCTCCAAACACGGTTCAAAAGTTGTATTAACAGCTTAATTACGAATCACATTGCAGACCTCCATAGCTTCCTGTTCACTGATACAAACGTGAAGGTAAAACCTGTGACATGATGCACTCACTTCCCTTATTTCAACTCCACAACATGGTTATCTATATTCAGGAAATAGGACTTTGTTTGCCCATCTGAAAGATGGCAATGATCACAGTGCCTACCTGCCCGGGATGCTGGGCTGACTGAATGAAGCATACAGATAGAAGCTTCGAACAGTGAATGCTACAGAACATCAATTCATATTCATTGGAGCCTTGTGACTTAGAGGAATTTTAATCCTCATAGTTCGCAGAAAAGGTAAAGCGGAGAAGAACAACGTAAGACAAAGAAAAATGACCTCAGAAGCAAAGGATGGGTCACTGACTGAATGACTTCTCTGAGCGACCTGACTTCCTGGGTCCTGATTTAGTCTATAAAATGGGGACAACAATATCATTTCTTATCTACCCAGATTATCACAACAAGCATCCAGGGAAATCACATATGTTGTCATTCTGTTAAACAGGAAGCATTTCAGATGGTCCAGAGCATGAAGAGCGTTCCAGGAGGCTGACTGAAGCACAGCTTGGGAATGCACGCTTAGGAGCAGGAGTTCAAATCTAGGAGCCACCATCCTCGAAGCCACGTGACTCGAACAAATCACCTACTACTTTTTCTGCCTGTTTCCTCACTGACAACAGTACCTGTCACTTAAATATATATAAGCACTTCAAATAGTACCTGTTATATAGCAAGGCTCAGAAAATGATCATTGCTCAATAATCACCACTAGCATTATACTGGTTTTGCTTATTACTAACCTCGCACCAGGCTCCCCTTTCCCTCACTCCCAACTCATCCAACAGACTCCTTGGAGAAGGGACTATTGGCCTCACCCGCCGTCCTGCTGCCCGGGCCTCGCGGTGCCAGTCCTCCACCAGAGCTACCGCTTCCTCCCCACTCTCGGGATGGCGCGCCTGCACCCAGGTCTGGACCTCCCTGGGTAGGATTGTCAGGAACTGCTCCAGCACCAGCAGCTCCAGGATCTGCTCTTTGAGGCGGATCTCTGGCCTCAGCCAACGACAACAGAGAGCCCAGAGCCGGCTGAAGGCCTCATGGGGCCCAGCCGCATCCCTGTACTGAAACTGTCGGAAGCGCCGGCGGGAGGCCTCAGGGCCGGGAACAGGCTCATGGTGCCTGTCCAGGAGTTTGGGGTCCGAGTCCCAAGAGTCCTCTTCCAGTTTCACAATCAGGAGGTCTTCAGCCTCTGATGGGGGAGAGGCCTGGGACCGAGAGTCCAAGACCACAGCCATGGTCTAGCCCAGATGCCTCACTTCAGCTGGGCTGTCTTCAGCTTTCTGCATGGACAGTGTCCTTTTTGGGGCTTGTGTGACAAGGGCTGCTTCCCAAGGCTCTGAAGGCAGAAAGACAAAGGACAGTGTGAGTCAGGGGACCCAGGAGCCTCACTTTCCTCCTTTCCCCCGACACCCTCTACCACCTTCACAAGACACGGAGATGCTAAAGATGCAAGGTTGACACCAAAGCCAGCAGCCGGCCCACTTTAGAGGAAGACAGCATGGTGTTAAATCCCCTGAGACAAGCCTAAACACCTTAGCCTGACCCCTTGAGCCTCCAGGAACTGGCATGCTGCAGCTTTCTTCCCTTCTATGTACATCCAGGTCTACTCTCCCCTCAAGTTGGGTTCCAAAGGTTACCCGCTCCATAAGACCTTTCTTTTTGAATCTTAAAACCTGACATTCCTCTAAGGATGCCCCTTTATAAATTTCCCTCCGACTCTTACTCCCCTTGATCATCCCACCCATCTAGCACTGTTCATCGACGTCCAACCAGGTCATTCCCAACGCTCTAGCCAGGACTGTGTCCAGATGTCCAGACCTCAGGATCTAAACACCTACATGACGTTTCCACAGGACTGTTCCTCAGTGTGTCAAAACTGAACTCCTGGTATTTTCCAGCAAATCTGTTTTCTGGTGTCCCCTCCCATTCAGTGAAGGTACCACTTGCCATGAACCTCCCCACACCAGCCCCCTGATATCTGTCCAACTCTTCACCAAGCCATGTGTCCTTGCTGCCAACACCCCCTCACCCGGTGCCACCTTCTCAGCCCAGAGCATCACTGTGTCTTTCACTGGATCAAGCACCTAGGTCACAGCCCTGCCTCCACTCCTCTCCCCCAACTCCTGGTCCATCCTTTGCATAGTTGTCTACAACAAATGAAATTAGCCTATGTCATTTCCCTGCTAACTACCCTTCAGTACTCTCTCATTTCCCTGGGCATAAAGCACAAACCATATCCAAGTCTCCAGCCTCATTCTGTTCCCTTGCTCTCACTCAACAGGGTGCTCCACCTGCACAGCCTGCCAGCAACTCCTACACCAAGCTGCCCTCTGGACCCTTCCTTCCCTGTGCTGCAACCTCCCCTGGAAATGGTCTCCTCCCACTCCTTCTTCACATCACTGTCTTGGCTTAGATTATGTTTTTCCAACAAGGCCTTCCCTGTTTCCTGAAACAAGATTCAATCCTTGGCTGCAAGCTTCCATGACACCTTCTGCTTCCTCTCTCCTAACCCTTTATTGTAATCACTAGATCATGAGCTTCCAGGGAAGCGTAGCACAGCACTCAGGGCACACAGGAAGCCTTGGTAAACAGTGAAGGCACAAACGATCAACTAATGGCGATGGTATGTCATGAAGCAAAGGTTACTATTAATCCCCTTCTGTGCACACTCAATAAAACAAGAATAAATGGCCTCCCTGCTCCTGCCAAATGAACTCCTTTCTCCTCTTCCTTTCCATCGCTCCATGGCACACTGTCGATGCTGGGTTAGAGGGATATGTGTCCCAAGGAGATTACCACCTCCTTAATGACATCCATGCTAGGTTAGCTAAGAAAGTCAGCTCTTTGTGACATTCCCAACAAGTACAGACGACCAAAAAAAAAAAAAAATCCTGGCTGAAATGAGGCTGTTAGCTGCTTCCAAGTGTCCATGACACAGCTAAACTGAGAACAGAGGGAGGGTGGCGTTTTACACTTGAGGTCATATGAATGGACTGTGTGGAAACAAGGTGAGGGTGATAACAAATGAAGGCTTGTCCTAAAGGCCTTTGCATACTTAAGAAGAGGCTGGGAGTGGAATTCAAAGCTACCTGGCAGCATCCTGTTCTTCCTTCAGCTATTGGCTCTAACGTCGCCTCCTTTCATAAGGCTCCACTGTAGGCCCTGGTAGCATGTCCTTCCCCCAGCCCTGCTCTCCAAGATGGCTCCACAGTTCCGGGTTCCCAAAGCACCTCACAACGGTGGTATCTTACATCCCTGCAGCTGCCTATCTGGACATCTGGACAGCACCAGTAAACTCTATTACTAGAATCAGCACTGAAACTTACTTAAATCTGCTTCCAGTGCCCAATCCAATATCTGATAAACAGCAGGGCCTTTAAAAAGGACTATCTGGTACATCAAAAAAAAAAAAGGAGCTGTGAAGCTAAATAATGAATCTCTCATGAGATCTTCTCTAACTGTGGCCCTACAGCTGGACTATCCCAGACACATTTCTGTCACTCTCACACACAACTGCTGATTTACCAGTCATTCAGAGTGCCCACTATGCACTACCCTATACTGGGAATTAGAGATCCAACAAGAGCATAACAAACAGTCCCTACTTCTCTCACACAACTAAGAATGTTTGTGCTGCAAAACAAAGAGACCACTACAACAAAACAGGCAACCCAGATGTTTCATAGGCCAAAAGCCCTGGCTCTCAGATAACAGTTTTTTTTTTTTTCTTCTGGGAAGACTTGAAAATCCCAAATCTTAACATTAAATAGAAATAAAAAGGTCCCAGTCACCACATAACAATTTCTTCCACCCCTTTCTTAATGTGGATAGTAAACTACTGCGGAGAGATCAAGCCCATCAACCAACACCAGCGTGACTTCTCCCAGAGACAACCAACAGACAATGGACAAGGGCTTTCCTCAGCCTTGACACCACCAGGATCAGCTGGGCCTCCCTCGGATGAGTAACCTCCAAGGGTATCCACTAGTTGAGTGCTCTCACAAGGTACCAGGCATAGTGCTCAGGGGCCAACATTCATCATCTGAGTCCTCCAGGCAAGCAGGTGGAGTGTCATTAGTACTGAGCTGCACTTCACAGCCCTGTAACTCCCACCACTCACACAAAGGCCTAAAAGTGAGAGACAGTGTCATGTAAACAGTGCAGCCGGTTCCACTCATGACGTCTCTGCTCCAGGGTGAGCGTGTGGTGTTGACAGCCTTGAATCCACCATTCCCTCGGGTGGATTTGAGCCTCTCTTTCTACCGAGTCTCAGCGAGTGCCTTTCATATGGCATGGTCCCTAGCACAAGCCAACTCTTTGCTCTAGCTTTCAGATAAGAAACCTCAGTTGTGCTGGTTAACTTACTGCCAGAAGGTGTGTTGCCTTCAGAAGCGGCCCCTTGCCAGAGGGTTTTCAAGCTGACTGTGATTTTGGGCTGAATGTGATTTTCACCTGCTGACTTTAGAATGCAGTTATTTAGTAAAGTATGACTCTACGGTCTCCTCAATTACACAAGCTCCTACCGAGCTTGTAGGAAGATTCACTTAAGGTGACACAAACTAACAGAGGACCTAAGTCCAGATCTGTTCCCTCCACTCATTTTTCTTAACCACAACACAGCCTTCTCTGGGTTGCTCATCAAACAGCGACAAGAATGTTTAAGGAAGGAGTGAGTAGATGGGGGTCCTAGTTCCCCTCCTGGAATTTCCCAGCTGTGTGACTTCAGACAGGTCATGCAGCCCCTGTAACTGTCTGGGCCACACTCTACTGATGACCTTATCCAGCATTTCTGAAAGCTACCCCAATCAGAACAGTAGGGTTAGGGCAAAGGGCAAGGAAAATGAGAATCAGGAGCTACAAGTTCAAGTGACTACAGGAGCCTCGGTATGGAAAACAGTCCATGAATAAGGTGAATTGAATGAGGACAACAATTCACCTGGAATGCCAGGGGAAACGAAAGCCCTGAATGTTCTCAGGTCTCCCAATTTTTCCAACACAAGCTAGAACTCTGGATTTTTAAACACTGGCAACAAACCCAAAGTTGTTTTTTTTTTTTTTAATTGAGAATTCATTAAAGCATGATGGTGAACTTCACTCAATAAAGGCTGTCACATTGCCACCTTTCAGTAAAATGATCTTAAAGGTCTCTCAAAATCCAGGATGACCTAAAAGGTACAGGGATGAGGGATACATATTGACTGCTAGGATCTTCCACACACACACAGAAGCTAAGCGGCATCTTGGGATAGTGAATGTTGATATGGGCATGAAAAGCTCACTCAATAAAGAGCAGAATGGAAGCCTCTTCCCCAGTCCCAGGGGAGATGCCTAAACTGGTTCTTCACCTCCAAAAGAAAGCAGGAGTTCTCAAAGGCTTTCAGGCCCACTTGACTACAATGTAAGCTATGGCTTAGAAGTAGGTGGATGTGGGTTACCTGGCTTGGGACCTTGGGCCCACCTGCGAGGGAAGTGTTGGGTTCGTGAGCCTGAGGGGTGGGGAAATCTGACAGGGCTTGGGTCGCCAAGCCCGGGTCTCTTGGTCCATCTGCTAGGGGGGTGCTGGGTTCATGATCTTGTGAGGCTGGGGATTCGGCAGATCTCAGGTCACCTGGCCCAGGTCCTTGGACTCTTCTGCAAGAATATGCCCTCCTCGGTGAAAAAGGTGGAGCAGTGGACGCAGACCCTGATGCACATGGAAAATATGGCAGCCCATTTGGTACCACAGCAGAAGAAGGAGAACAGGGCAAATTGGACAAGTACCTAAGCCAAACGATGACAGCAACAATCTCTGTGAATGGAAACTTGAGGTTGACCGTGTCAGCCAACGGACAATGGGAGGGCTGTATCCTTCTTGGATCAGCGAAATCCACAGCATTTCAAAACTATCTAAACCAATTGGGCAGAACCCTCGGAACAAGCACACACCAAGACCCTGGGTTGATATGCGGTGGCGGCTCCCCATCCCTGGGTACTGGAACATTTAGGAAGCTGAGTGTGGCTTCCCCCTTTGTCTCTCCCCTTCCCATAGAAACAAGAACAACAAATTTGTAAATAATGATTTCACCCACTGATCCCTAACCTCGATCCTTCCCAACCTTATCAGCAGGAGGACAGCACACTCCAGGGCTTAAAATGGGCAAATAAAATAGGTTTCCCTGAAAGCACAAACTTAAATCAACTGCAAACAGCTGTCTAAAGTAGCATGCAAAGGACCTTACGTCCCAAATGAATGCATGCTGTGAACTGCTAGCCAGGACTGCCAGACACAGCCGGGGGGAGTGGCACTGCACATTCCACGCATCTGCCATCCTGGCTTAAACCCTGACTGGTATGAGCCCACCTCAGCTTCCGGCAGTCCTGTCAGAGAGTAAGCCTCACGGCCCTGGAAAGCATACCTGGTGTCAAGGTTGCTATTTGTGTATTTATCATGCATTTATCAATTTACTTGTCTTACATCAAGTGTTACTGCTCTGAGCTGGAGGGGACTCAGATGCTGTTCCTGTGCTGAGACGCTTAGAATCTAATGAAAACCATGGAAAAACAAACCTCCACTGGTGCTGACATCCAATAAGAGCATCAGCTCATGTTCCAGGTGCTCCATTTCCAACCCACACACCTGGATGGGAAGCTAACACACCTGGGAAGGCAGTGGAGGCTGGCCCAGTGTTTAGATCCTTGCACTCCATGGGGGACCTGGAAGAAGCTCCAGCCCAGCTCTGGCCATACCAGGCATTTGAGGAGTGAACCAGCAGATAGCAATCTGTTTTTTCTTTCTCTCTCTCCTATCTCAATATCTCTGAATTGGAAGTAAAACAAATAAATCCCTAAAACATAAATCACAGGCAATTGTGATCCAAAGAGAAATCACAGGATTTGGGGGTTAGCTTCAGAAAGTCAAAGTGACAATTGAGTTGCTTCTGGAAGAGTGGTTCTCTTGACAGAGAATGGGTCAGGGAAGGGGGTGAATATTCTAAGCACAGTGAGCAACATACCAACAGCCTAGCTAGGAAATGGGGGTTGGGAGAGAGACCTAGGCGGCCCTAAGGCCTCGATGCACAAGGTAGGTTTCAAAGGAAGTTCAGGAAGAATCTAGAATATGAGGTTAACGTTGTTCGGACTTCGTTCCACAGACAAGGAGAACCCATTCAGCAGGAAAATGGGGCCATTCAGGTGTGTTAGGCAGATCACCACAGTGGTTGCAATGTGTTGGTCCATGCCGAGGAAGGGAAAAGGTGGTACCTTCTGCAAAAACTCTAACAAGAAATTTGTGGATCCAAGACATATTAAAAAAAGAAAAAAAAAAAACTGGCTGCCAGCTGCAGGGACCCTCCGATGTGGAGAATGGAAGAGGAGTCCGGGGGTCCCGTAGGTAGGCAGGGAGGTCACGCGGTGGATGCTCGCCATCCCCTTCCACCGGGCACACGGGACAAAGGGCAGGTTGGGGCAGAGAGGCCAGTCCCACCACCGCATTCTAGAGGTAGCAACCCTGAGGGCGGACACCCAATGCGACTGGCTTGTCCTGGGCGGGCTGGGGAACACGGGAACCCTATTTTTAAGGTTAAGCTTCAAGCTCAGACCCTCTGAGCTTCACTTCTTGACCGGACCCCAGAGCTCTCGACCCTTCCTCTGCGGTCTCCAGAACCTCCGAGAACTCTCCCTTCTCCTCAGCCTCTCTCAGCCCCGCCTCGTTCCCGGAGCCCTCTACCTCACCTCCGCATCCCCGACCCCGCAGTGACCCTGCCCATCTCCGCACGTTCGTCTTCGGACCGCCCCTCGCCCGTCCACCCCATCGCACAAGCTGCACTTTCACCAACTCCTAAGTCTCCAGCCCGGCGCTGGAGTCCCGGCTGCCCCCGCCCCGCCACCCGGACTCACCCACCGAGACACCCACTTCACAACAGGGCGGAAGTGCTCCAGAGTTAGCGCAGAGGATGTTGGGACGCGGAGTCCGAACGGCGCCAGCCCGGGCATGGGACATCTGAGACTACAACTCCCAGAAGGAACCGCGCGAGCGTCCGTGGCCGGCCCCTTCCGTTCGCCGCCTTTTCAGCTGTCGCCCACTGATAGATGACCAGTCCTCTCAAGGTCCTGGCACGAGGACAAATCAGCCCGCGGGGGGTGGGGCCTGCTGCGACAGGAGCCGGGCGGCATCGACCTGAGACCAACAGAGGTCAGAGACAAAACCGAGAAAGAAAGAAAGGTGACCAGACCGGTGGGCAAAGGGTCGGTGCTCACAGCGAGGCTGCGTGACCGGGGGGCCAATTCTGAACCCCGTGTACTTCGCCTGTGGAACGAAGATACTAATAGCATCCACATCACTGGGTTTGGTGAGCTTCCGAGAGATAATACACCTAAGACGATTAGCTCGGGGCTGTCAGGTCGACGTGTTTGCCTCTCGGTGTGAGCCTCCTAGCATGAAGTTGAGGGTGTAGGAACAAACCCCAACCAGGTTCTTCTTAGCTGCGTGTCTCTAAACACACATTTTTGACTTGTTTGGCTGTAAAATGCAGGTAAGCCAGAAGTTATATTGCAGGGTGTGCGCAAGCTTAAGGGAGATGACACGTTAAGGAGCTCTTTGGATTCCCGACCCGGCTACTCACTGGTGGTGAAACACGTCTACCCACCTTCCCCACGCCCGCGTTTCTTGGTTTGTAAAATGGAAACTGTCATCATGCCATCTTCCTGATGGAGTTTGTTGAGAGGAATGAGTAAGGCAAAGTGTCGTGGTCATGGGCTGTTGTCATTTTTGTTAATGATCTTGGGACTTCAGGCAAGTTGACAGTACCTAGCCTAAGGCAAGGACAAAGTGACTGTTAAAATTAAGGGGATTCTTACTTTGAGTCCCCTAGTTCAAACTCCTGCGCCGTGAGCCATTTCCCAACCTATTTATAAGAATAACTTCCTGTAATTTTATGCTCAGGGGACGTATCAGCAACACATAGGCACTCTGTGTGTTTGAACTCTCATAAGCATCGTGCAAGGCTGGCATCCTCGCCCCTCGGTTTACAGAAGGCACTGAGAACTTAAAAGAAGCAACCTTAATGAGATCACATGAGCAGTAAGAACCAGATCTGAAATCAATGTTGAAACCCGTGGGGGAGACTCCACAGTATAGACACACATCTCTGGGAAAGAGACCGCAGGGCACCGAGGTGGAGGGGACAGTGTGGCATGCGATTCTGGGGGGGGGGGGGCAGGGACGTTTGGGGAGCGAGATAGGAGCAGATGCAGGCCAGACAGCTTCGCGGGGGTCCAATTAGGTCTTCATCGCCCCTGAAGAGGAGGCGAGAGAAGGGCGCCATGTGGACACTAGAGGGCGCTCTTCACCGTTAATCCAGCCTGAAATTGTTCTGTGGATTCCTTAACCTTTGTGTACTTAAAACCTCCTAGGGTTTTCACAAGAGGAAAACTGAACAAGTCCCCAAGAGCCTTTTGCTTTGGGAAAGAACACCGGCTGACCCAGGCCCCGGGCGGGGTTTGTGCAAGCCTTCTGCCCTCCTCTTTGAGCTGCCCTACCACCAGACTCTAAGACACAAACCAAACCTGCTCCCTGTCCCCAGGGCCTGATCTGCCAACTTTTCTGACCCAGCATTGCTGGGAGTAAAGCCTTTCTGGGCACACACTTCCAACACACTCACGGGTAGTCCTTTATTTGGCAGGGACATACATGTGATCATAGCTAACTTTACACGGTTAGGTCCTGCTCTCGGTGCATCAGTCATCTCAAAGCCCTTTAGGGGAGAGTCTGAGACTATCCCGTAGTCCAAAAAGCAAAACAAAGGGAAACTGGGATACAAGGAAGTTAACAGGCCGAAGTCAAGGAAGTGACAAACAGACAGCGGAGCTTCAATGAATAAAGCGAGCTTAACATTTTTAAAACATGTGAGAGAAGTTTTAGCATGGTCATCCCCGGGGAGTCATCTTCGAAGTCCCGCTTTTGGGCACCACTGTTCCAGATCCACGAATAGCCCTTTAAGAAGGCCGCTGTGAGGCTCTAAGGTCAGTCGATGCGAAGGTTCCCAGGAGGAACAGGCAGGTGGCTGCCTCCTGGGCAACATCCCAGCTTTGTCGTGCTTGGCTGCCAGTCTCTCCATCACCCAGATGGCAATGGGGGTCCCCCTGCCCTTTTGAAGATCTTCTTAGGCCTGGACCCCAGGGCACAGTCAGGCTGCTCAGAATGCACCCCCCACCACCACCACCGCCTTCCCCTCCCTCAACCCTCTGTGCACTCCCAACTTTCTTTCCTCTGATCTAGGTTTTAGGACTCCTACCCCTCCACCTTCTGCCTCATGTAGATTTCCATTAAAAACATAACCATCATCATCATCCAGTTCCATCAAACAGGCGCTTGGCAGAGATAGTTCAGGATTTGAAAGTCAGCAGAGCACATCTCACATTGCACAGCCCCTGCCAGCTTCCAGATCTTTTCTTTCAACCTCCCCAAAGCCTGTGCTCCCCTTATCAGCTTCTTTCCCACACATGCAGTGCCCCAACTCCTCCTATGGGAAGCTGGGTCCCACCTCCCATACCCACACATGCCCATGATCTAGCTGCCAGGCTGGCTTGCTTGTCCTAATTCTGCAACACACCTGATGCACCCACCCTACCCTAACCCAGACTGCTGAGCCTGCTCCCCAACCAGTCCCAAAAACGCTTCTTTCCTTCCTCTTCCTGGAGCCACAAGCAGTAGTCTCCCCGGCGGAGCAGCCAAGCCAGTCTGTGGTACGGCGGCAGCTGGTGGCGGGAAATGCGTTCCAGGAAGACCAGCAGCAACACTGGGGGGTGGGGGGCTGCCAACACAAGGGAGGTGGCCAGGCGGAGTTCCAGGCGGCAGCGGGGTGTGTACAGGGCCTGGTGACTCATTACACAGAGGGTAACCTGGCTCCCCGCCATGCTGTCGGCAATGTTGTCAGCCACATCCTTGCCTGGCTCAAAGTCCCGTTCAGGGAGGCAGAGGCGCAGTCCCCGGCCAATGGGAGGACAGCCCTCCAGAGCTGGTAGCAGCTCCTGCACCACCCAGCCCTGATCTTCCTCACAGTAGGACACAAACACGTCGTAGAGGAATCGCCTGCCTTCACCCCTCTGACCGCACAGCCCCTGGAACCAAGCCCTGAGCCAGGCCTGGAGATAAAGCACCCAAGAGTTCCTGGCTTCCTGAAGGAGGGGTAAGGCGATCAACAGGAGCAGCAGCAAGGAGCAGCCCACAAAGAGCCCCAGCCCGAAGGTCTGGGGGCAGTGGCCCTGAAGAAAGGGGAAGAGAAGGCTTTTGGACTGGCCACCAGTTTCCAATGGGCATACGTGGTTGTAGTAGTAGTAGAGATAAACGTAGGTTTTAGGGGACTGCTTAAGCCAGGGTTCCACCCAGGCATTGGCACAACTGCAGGCCAAGGTCGAAACTGTGATGTACAAGTACTGGGGCATCTGAAGACTGTGTTCCTGTAGGCTGTCGTCCAGCACCAAGTGTGTCTCCCCATCCAACACTAAGACCTTGAGACTGCTGAGGCCCTGGAATGCAGCAGCCGACAGAGACTTCAGCCCCGTGTTGGCCAGCATCAGTACCTGCAACTGGGGCAGGTCCCCGACCAGCTCCTCCAGCTGCAGGGGGTGAGGCCAGAGGTTGGACTGCAGCAACTGCAGCTGGAGCTCCTGGAGACCAGGCAGCCCTGTGATGCGGCAGGGTCTGAAGTTGTGCATTGGTCCCTGGACCTTCAGGTACTGCAGCCTGTGGAGCTGCCAGAGGAAGACATGAGAAAGACCCTGGGAGCAAAGGGCCTCCAAGACATGGCTCTTCAGAGAGAGCTGGCGAAGAGCAGGGAACAGCTCAGAGATGTTCTGGGACCCCAACTGCAAGCCCCAGGCTTCTAAAGTCAGGGTTTGCAAGACCGGAAAAGGAGAAGCCAGCACCCAGGGCTTCCTGCTCTGGACCACACGGAGCTCCAAGCTGGTCAGCGTCGTGAGCAGGGACAGTGCTTTCCCAGAAGGGCCAGAGGGGAGCTGCAGTCTCAAGTCACGCAGATTCTCTGGACCCTGTAAGTCCCTGGCTGAGCTCAGCACCACATGGGTGTTTAGCAGGTTTAGGGAGGTCAGTGCAGGCAGAGGGGCCAGCCAGCCCTCCCCTAGAGATACCAAAGGATTCTTTTCCAGGTCCAAGGTTGTTAGCCTCGGGAGGCCCTGGAATACCTGTCCATCTAGGTAAGTCAACTGGTTTCCCTGAAGTTTCAATTCTCGTAGCTGTGGCAGGCAGGAGAAAGTGGCTGGAGGCAGGGTGTGCAGCCCATTACTGGACACGTCCAGGGCCCATAGCTCTGACATAGCCCCTGTCCCATCTGCACACAGCAGGACACTCTGCAGCTGATTATAAGCCAGGTTAAGTCTTTGCAGCCTGGGCATGGCAGCCAGGAACCCTGGCGGCAGCTCAGTCAGTCCAGTGCTCTGAAGATACAAGCTCTTGAGGCTGTGGCAGGAAGCTAGGGCCTTGGGTGCAATGGACTTTATCTGATTGATCCCCAAATGCAAGTGCTGCAGCTCCAGGTGGGCAACTACATCTGCTGGCAGTGCCAGCGTGCGTGTGTGTGTCACAACCAGCGTGTCCAGCCTCTGCAGCCCCAGTCCCATTACTGCAGCTGCTTCGATCTGTGTATGCTCCAGACGCAGGGTCCCCAGGCTCAGGCCCTGGAGAGACCCAGAACTGATATTCTTCAGCTTCCTATTGAGTGATAGATCCAACATGTCCAGGGTCCGGGCATTGCCAGAGGAAGCACCACGTATCAGATCTGGGAAGATGTAAGCCAGCTCCCCCACATCCTGAAGGCAGCTCAGGGTGACAGACAGCTGCCGTAGCTTCGGAGGCAACTGTACACTCACATTTTTGGCCAGGCAGAGTCCTGAGAAGGAAAGGTTTTGGAGGGTTCTGAGGTCACTAAAGGCATCAGAGGGTAGGAAGAACAGCTTATCACTCTTGGCAGCCTTGAAAGAGAGTTGCTGCAGCTGTGCGAGACCCCGGAAAGCTCCTGGTAGGGGCTGTGGGAGATGGAAACTCAGCCCCAGGGCCTTGAGCCCTGGAAAGTTGGCAAAAGCATCCTGGGGCAGAACCAGTGAGGCAGAACCAGAGAGACAGAGCCCCTGGACATGGCGCGGCACAACCTCCAAGGCCTGGGTAACATTGTTCACCTGAAAGCAGCTGATAAGAAAATGCCATCTGGAGTCAACTGGGCAGGTTAGGAAGCGAGAAACCCGAGGCAGCCAGTCTTCAATCAACAGGCAGTTAGAAATCATCCAGCCTCCGATCAAAGGAAGGAACAGGAGCAGACCAGGCAGCAGCAGGTGCCTGCCCATCTCAGCACCTGCCTGGCCCACAGAAAACAGAATCAGAACCCCACTCATTTCCCTTCTTTTCCCAACCCTCACCCTCACCCTCTGCACATGAGTGAACCCTAAACTCACCTCTGGGACCGGGTACCTACGACCTCTTGTGTGTCCAGGAGATCTGGAAGCCAGATCAGAGGGCCATGGTGCTGCCAACCAGAAGAGTATTGGGGAACTGAATGGCAAGGTGGGACCAGCCCAGGAAATGCGCCTAGCTAGGGCTCCAAGGGTCAAGGGAAAGAGTAAGTGCACCAGTGGTGACCTGGCGGAGACCAAGGCTCACTTCTGCAGCATGAAAAAGGAAGTCAGACACCTGAGCACAGGCTGTGGCATCTGAGATCCAGCATCCTCCTCAGCCGTGACCATGGGGGTCAGCGCATTCCACCTTGCCGAGCTCCAGTTTCTTTACCTGTAAAGCAAGCACACTACTACCTGTTTCACATGACTGCTGCAAAGTAAAAAGGAGCATTGTCTCCTCATCACCCCCTTTATAACTTCCTCTCCCTGCTCTTGACAGAAACCAAAAGTAAATTGGGAATTTTTGGAAAAAAAAAAATTTTAAATCTGTGCAAGTAACACGCTGCCTTTGTGGGCATCCCATGCTACAAGGTTCTAAAACCCCAGGTGCATCCAGGAGGACTGCAAGGCTCCAGTCCCACTCTTCCAAGCAGGGACAAAGAAGGAAGGTCTCCTGAGCTTGGACCCTGCCATGCACTACTACCAGGATAGAGTCAGGATGCAAGTAAGGGCAGGAAAAGGAAAGCATTCCACGATGAACTCCAGCAGTGCAGTGAACTATTTGACCAAGTCAATAGCTAGTCATGACTTAAAAATAATAAACTCAAGCAGAAGAAGCATTCCTTGACTTATGAAAGGAGACCAGCCCCAGATCTTTGGTTCTAATGGTAGAACCAACTAGTGTATCCCATGGAAAGCTAGAGGTGAGGCAACTGTGTTTCTGCTCCACCTGACAATGAAATCCTCTGCTGGCAGAATGAGAAAGAGAAGATTTAGAAATGGAAATTATGTGCATTTCAAAGTAGAAGCACAAGGGTCACCATCTATAAACTCATGATTATTTGTGGAGGAAACCCAAGAATTTGTGGAAACACACTTTTACAATGGAAGAAGTTTTCATAAAGAGACTGAACACTCAATTCATAAAAAAGAAATGTCTGTTTCACCAATGCTTTCGTTGGGGTCTAAATAGGTAAAGCATATTCATACTAGAACTTTTAAATACATTTTGAAAGCCAAGAAACAGATGAACTGAGATTCCTCTATGAGGCTTACGTGCAAAGGGACAGGTCACAGAAGTATTGGCAAGCTCGGGGGTCTTAAAGGACATTTCAGGGAACCGACAAGAGTTAGCAGGTATGGCAGCTGTCTCTTCTCTTTGAATGGAGGAGATAATGTCTGAGAGACATTTCCAGAGCCTGGAAGGACAAGCTTGTGCGATAGCTGCCTTGAGAGGAGCAATGACTTTTGGTTAAATCGCAAAGCCCACCTGAGAGAACCTCACTGGAGCAGGAATGTTCTGGCCTCTTCCTCTACTTCTTCCCTGTGATCTGCCAACTAGACTTCTGCCTTGGCTTCAGAATCAGCACGGGTGAGAGAGGGGACCTTAATGTAACCCAGGGTGGGGCTCAGGCTCCCTGAGTAGAGAGCAAATGGAAGGACAAGGGCTGGCACTGTGGAGCGGTAGGGAAAGCTGCCATCTGCAGTACCAGCATCCCCCATTTGCCCCAGTTCAAGTCTCAACTGCTCCACTTCCAAACCACACCTTGCGAATATCCTGGGAAATCAGCGGGGGATGACTCAAGCACTTGGGACCCAACACTCTAGTAGGAGACCTAGAAGAAGCTACTGGCTCCTAGATCCAAATTGGTGCGTGCTTTCTCTCTCTCTCTCTCTCTCTCTCTCTCTCCCCTACCCATTCTACCTTTAAATTGAATAAATAAATCTTTTTAAAAAAAGATGGAGAAGGGCAAGAAAATATGGAGGAGCCAGCAAATGACCACATCACAGCCATCAACCAACACTAAGCATTGTGCTTTGAAACAAAGCGCTAGGGACAAAGTGCAAAAACAGACCTCACTATATTTAATATCACGGTTTACCAAAAGACACCTAGTTCATTTTGTCTGTCTTCATCAAAGGTAACTAAAGAAGCACCCCAAGCCTAATTACCAAAACTAAAGCAAAAAAAAAAAAATCATCGTATTGCAATAAGTAAAAATTGATGCCTCATGATGCATTTTTTCATAAACTAGGCATCATTACAGTTAAGAAATTGTGCTCATGGAAGGATATGACTGGAAAAGAAGAAAGACAAACCACATGGAGAAGAGGCATCTGTAACATATTTGCTCATCCAAGGACTCTTCCGTGAGGAATATATAGAACACAGAAGACTCAAGAGGCCAAGAGGGAAGCAGAAGGAAAAGCAGGAAGCATTTCAGCTGAATCATAACAAAAAATGCTACCCAGCACACCAAAACACTAAATCTAAAGCGAGATCTGTGGGGAAACCCAGATGTCCAGGTCAGAAACCCAAAGAGCAAGAACTGAAAATTGATGAATCAGACAGCAACTCCTAAAGCTTCTAAAAGCAACAATTGAAAAGTATTTTAAAAGACTCTCACTTCCCTCACTTTGCAGTATTTGGTTGCAGACTTACCCAGCTTTAGCTGTAACCTGGTGCAGCTATTGCGGGATGTTTGGGGGAGTAAGCCAGCTGATGGAAGATTCTCTTATCTGATTTTCAGATCAAGTAAGTAGATATTTTATCTCAAAGTGAGAAGGGAGCAAGTGTTAGAGTCATGATTATGTTACCTTTTAGGGTAGTCTGGGTCCCACATGGGAGTACCTAGGTTCCATTCCTAGCTCTGGCTCCTGAATCCAACTCCCTGCTGAAACAGATCCCGGGAGGCAGGAAGTAGTGGCTCAGGTAGCTGGGTCCCTGGCACGCACCTAGCAGACCTGCACGGAGTTCCAGCTTCTAGCATCAGCTCCCCAGCCATTACGGGCATTTGAGACGTGAACAGCAAAGGGAAGTACTCGCTCTCTGTGTGTGTGTCTCTTTACACCTGTGTAAAATAAAAATAATAATACAAAAATGTTTTTAAAGTAAGTGGAACGGCATTTGCAATCTGTAAAAAGGCAGGAAGTACTAGAATATGACTGCCTCAACTTCCCTTTGCTATATTAGCCGCATTAACTTGTTTTACCCTAATTCCCCAAGTGTGTGGTGAAGGGGAAAGCCAATGTCTACTTCCTTTCCCCAGTCGTCCTTCAAGAGTCTTGGAAACTTACAGAATTACTGAGAACCTGGGCCAGAAGGGTGCCAAATTCACCTGTTCCAACACCTGTCTCAGATGGGGAAAATGAGATTCAGAGAAAGGCAGGAGATTTTCCAGCACCAAGTAGAGGTATGCAGCAGAGGTGGGACCAAAATCCATGGTCATAGTTAAGATGGGTGGGGACTGGTATCAGTGGCAACACGCAGTGTCCACTCCCAGCCAGAGGAAATAACATGAAGCTTTCAGAGCCAGGAGACTCCTCATCTGTACTCCCTTGCCTCATCAGCCCCTGCTGGGCTGTGATGTAAAGGAGTTTCTAGAAGAAGACTAAAATCAGACAAGTTCTCAATGCTGGAGTCTGCCCAGAGCCACCCAAAGAACTGCTGTGGGAAGAAAGAGAACTGAGAAACCGACTTTGCAAATGAAGAAACCAATAAATCAAATGGAAATAGGTGTCTTTGCTGTGGTCCAGGGCCACTTTTCTCTTTCCGCTCCCACCCACTCAGCTCACTTCCTTTCCCACACAGTCCCTGGTCTCCATCAGCTCCTTTTCTTCACACCTAGTGCTCCTCAAACCCACCTTGGCCTTCCTGCCCTGGGCCACAGACGTCCAACAAGGCCAAGTGGTCACCTCACTGTATGAAGCTGTTAACGGTGAGCAGGTGGCATTTCTGCTCCTGATGAGCCTCATCACTGCATAGCACAGTCAGTTCCAAATAAGAAGAAACTCTTCAGCCGCGACTCCACCACCCTCAATTTGAATGATCTCTGCTTGCCTGGGTTCAGTTCTCATCCAACACCAGATATTGTTCACAAAAGTACCATTTTTGGCACTTTACTCTGTGCCTAGTAAATGTCACTCACTCAGCAATTCAACTGGATGTGTTTTAATTGCCCAGAATCCCTTTGTTTTGTTACCCAGAATTGCTTTTAGGAATAAAAACAACGAGCCTTTGTGGAGTGCACAGGCCACATCACATTACGCTCTGGTAACTGTAACACACAGTGTGTGGTGCCCCCAGCGCCCAGGGGGAGGAGCTGCCATGGGAGGAAGGCCTGAAGCTCAGAGCCCCTGCCTCTGCTTTGGGCAAGACAGCTGTACTGGCTACCACCCCAGTTGGGAGTCATGGGCTGCGACAAGTGTCTTTGTCGCTTCCTGCCTTGTGGCTTTGATGTGGTCAGGAGCAATTCCCAGGCAGCCTTGAGCAAAGGAGGCCCTGGTTTCCTGTCCTTCCAGACATCACAAGGACAGACAGGTAAGGGAACAAAAACCAAGGATCAGCTGTCAGGACCCCCAGGAGAAGCAGCAGCTACCACACTGCAGGGGAAGTGACACCAGGGCTCCTCCAGGGTTCTTAACTGGGGTCCCTCTGGTGTCCAGAAACAGAAACTTGGCCAAGTCAGGCAGATCTTCCTGGCCCATCTCTGGGAACCTGCATCAGCTGCACCTGAGGACAGTCTGAGCCCAACAGTGGAACATGCCAGTCACTGCTGCCTCACATCTACGCTGCTGCAACCTGCGCTTCTCTCTTCTCACACCAGCAACGGCCACCTCCTCCCATGGGAACGCAGGGCTCAACTGAAACCCAAGGCCCGCTTTGGAGAGTGCGGAACTCAGCCCTACTCCATTCTGATCCTGCTGGCTCCTCACCCAGCACTGTAATGGGG